TCCTAAGTAGCCTCCTAAGAGCTGTGTAGCAGCTCTGAAAGCTGCAGTTCAGTTCAGTCCCCCTTGGTGCAGCTGGTGACTGTGTATTTTGGGAGTGGTAAGAGCAGTGCAGCTCCTGCCTGGCTTGTGAAGGGAACCCCTCAGCTCCAGCCAGGTAGGATGTCCCATTGCTCCGTGGCACATGCCTGGCAAGGCACAGTGACTTCCTAGGCAGTCAGGAGTGACAGATAATGCCTTCCTCTCTCCACAAGAAGCCTTTCTATCTCTGAGCTGGCCTTCATGTCACAAGTGTGTGACGGTGCAGCTTCTGGAGCTGGCTTTACTGGGTCAGAGCTCTGCTGTTGCCTCTGCACAGCTTCAGCTGCTGCCCTTTCAGAGAGTGCAGGGAAGTGGTTTGGGTGGGCTTGCGCCTGATGGGAAGGTGCTCCCTCCTCTGCCCCAATCCCTCTCCAAGTCCCCCTAAACTGTTGGCACTTAAGGAAGGAAGGCTGGGTGGTTTAAATTTCACAGAACCACAGAATCAATTAAGTTAGAAAAGACCTCTGAAATCATTGAATCCAACCTTTGACTGAACACCAGCAGGTCAACTAGAACATGGCACTCAGTGCCACATCCAGTCTTTTCTCAAACACCTCCAAGGATCGTGACCCCATCCATTTCCTGGGCAACCCATTCTATTTTTTAATCACCCCTTCTGTGAAGAAATTCCTCATCCTCCCTCAGTATGAGTTTACCCTGTAACTGGTTTATATTACCATAATGTTGTGTTTTCAGTTGTCATTTGCAATTAAAATTGTGTTCTTTGCTGTATATCTGTGGCAAGAATTGTGCAAGATGCTTTTTATTTTCTACTGACAATAATGTATAAAATTATAGAATAAAATGTCGTAAAATAGAAAACTTCATATTTGGATTAGTGTCAGTCTAACTAAAGCCATGCAGAATATGTGTTTTTTTCTTGCGTGTGGGATATTGTGTCTGTTAATGTTTTGATAGTCAAACTTTATTTGTGGTGACCTGAATAAGTCAATTTTTAGAAAAAGGACAAAAGAGATGCGCATTGGTTGGTGGTCAAATGGAATGTTGCATTTTAAAAATCTCTCAGAGATTTTTTTACCGAGGTAAATACCGAGAAGCTCTGGATGTTCTGATACAGAATAATGGGCAGTATCCTCAGATTCTTAATTGTCCGTTCTTAAAGCTTACCTTTGTAAGGTCTGAGATGATGAGCTTCAGAACTGCACGTATGATGTGAAGTATCCACTTCTCTGTGTGAGCAGCCAAATATGTGCTGCCTTTCAGAGAGGAAGAGTAACCATGGCTCGTTAACTTTACACAGCACAGGATACAGAGCATGTATACAAAGATACCTATCTTGCTAGATCATTTGTACTAAACCATCTTCGAAGTACTCTCTTAAAACTAATCTGGACAGTGAATGTAGCAATTGTAAAGACTGTACTTTGATAAATGCTGAAAAATAATACTGATTTCCTTTTCATATTTCTGCAGGTGAAAAAGGTGTGAGGGTTGAACTTAATAAACCTTCTGACTCAGTTGGGAAAGACGTTTTATAAGCCTTTGATTTAGCAACTCCCTGTGCTATTCTCCCTGATAAATCTTGATGCTATCTATTAACTTTTGAATGTGAATAACAAGATAAAGGAAAATCAACAACAAACCAACATCTTAATAAGGAAGCAAACAGTGTTTCAATGTTGCATCAAATAGAAGGTTCTTTGACTGCTGAAGCATTGTACTATGTGATTGTGACTCCAGGCCTGTGACTGCTTATGTGAAGAAGATAAGCAATCAGTAAGAAACAGCATATGCATCTGGACATAAATAAGTGCCCTACATAGAATTTGTCCATTCTTATATTTTGCCAGACCTGTCATCCAGCTGAATCCATTTCATCTCTCCCTTTTTTTATATGGTAAAAGTTTGAATTTTGGGTAATTTTTGTATGACCAGGTACAGTTTATCAAAATTGAGTCTTAAAAAAAAAAAAAGAAAAACTGAAAAAAAAGGAAAAAAAATTACAGTATTCTCCAAAATAACATGGATCTATTTTTGTAAAACTGTTCATACTGTTCTCCTCTGCCATGAAAGACCTAATTTAATGTAAGGGTTGCCAGTAACTGATAATCACTTTAATTTTCTTTACACCTTAAGTCAGAAAAAGAGCACTTTAATTACCAGCTAAAAACCTGATTGTTTTATATCATATCTCACACTAATCTTAACTTTTAAAGATTGCTGCTGTATTGTTTTTTTGACTATGTTCTCTTGAACCTTATTAACAGAAGCAAATCAGTATCTCGCTATTAGTAACATTCAGTTTGTGGTTTTGTATGTTGAATCCACAGAGGGGAAGTTTCTGTTTCTTCTTTGTTTTGGTTTTTTTTTTTGGTTAGGGTTTTTTTTGTGTTTTTTTATTTTTTAAGTGACTGGCACTAAGTGAACTTGACACTATCGGTTGCTGTCATTGGCTTTGGGGACCTGGTAAATACCATCAAGTTACAAGTATATACAAGGGCTTTCCTAGGCTATTAGAGGTACCCAGAACCTCCTTACTTACTTGACAGAAATTTTTGAGCTTTCTCCCTTTTCTAAAAAATACTTGCCACCCCTCTTTCCTTTGTATATAAGTTAATAGAATATCTAAAATTCCCTTTTTTTAATTTCCTTTTCAAATATTTGTGTCCCGTGCAGTCTGTAAGTTGACACCTTGATCTATTATATAGTATCAAGGAAATGGTCAGCACACTGAAGCTGAAGTGCATCACTCTGTAGGCTCCTTGTGCAATACATCTTTAAGTTTTCACTGTGCTGAAGGATTTCCCCAAAAAGGCACGGCCCTTTGACAAATACTGAGGTAAATATTTAGTAAGAAAACTCTTACTTTCTATTACATTGTTTTCATTTTATCAAGGAGAGGGGGCATCACAGAGTAAAAGTGAGATGTGCAGAAACTTCGATATTCTTATTTTTAAGAAATTGATATTTTGGACACTGATTTTTTTTTTTCTTCTTCTTTCCTTTATTTTTTCTGAGCTTTAAAAGCTTGAGAAAACAAAAGCAAACCTATCAAAAACAGCATTCATATTTACAGGAGTTTCGGGGTTGATCAGCTTACCCACTGCAGTTTTCTATCTGTTCCTTATTTCCTTACTTAGCCAAAACAATGTGAGTGTACAGAAATATTTCTGTATATATTACAACTTGTGACAGTTTTAGCATCTGTATAGTTTGTATTCAATTAGAAACCTTTTCTATGGAAAGCTCAGTAATTTTTTATTAAAAACATTACTATTGTTCATGTAAAACATGAAAAAGCTAATTGTTTAGTAACAAACTGACAGAAGGGGGAAAAAAATTCAGTATTGGTATATCATTTAGGAGAACCAACAGAAATCCCAGTTTTGTTTTGATTTCGCTTTTCCTTTTTTTAGTAAGTTCTTGCCCTGTACAGTTCTCTTCGTCTTTCCTCTTTTCTTCCCAGAAAAACAGACAGGATACTTTACTGTAAGTGCCTCTGCCAACCTGGCCAAGGAGTGCAAATCTTCATTACTGTCTGGTCTGCAGTGCATTTAGGTTACTAATAAAACAAGCAAAAAACTCGCCTCTTCTACTTCATCTTCTTTAGTACTACTTTAACAGAGGTTTTTTTGGTTTTGTTTTAGAAATGTAAACATAAGCCTTTAAACTCATTTCAGTCCCTCTGTAATTCAAACTGCTGCAGTTAAACAGCGTATCAAATTCTAATCACACTGTAGGTTTGTGCTTGCCGGACAGGTTTAAAAAGTGCTTAATTTTTCACTCCATGTAAGTCATTACAACAGGGTCAACAAATCAGGTCAGCCATTTCTTCCATGTCCTTCAGAAACTGTTCATTTCATGTCGGTTGAATATTCAGTCTTGAGCATCACCAAGCAGGTCCTTGTTTTACAACTATTTTTTAAACTGTCTTATGATCTGTATGTGTCTAGTCCTGGTTAAAAATAAAGCTTCATAATGCTATTTTTATTCATGATGTTAGCTGGCTGTGAAATACGAGACCTTTATCTATAGCAGGCGAAGAAATTCAGGATTCATTTACAGGTTGCCTATAAAGTTGTGTAATTTCAAAAGCAGTGTTCATTATGAAAGAGCTCTCAAGTTGCTTGTAAAGCTAATCTAATTAAAAAAGATGATGTATAAAGGTTCTTGAAAGCTATGTGATTATTTGTAATCTTTGTAACTTTTAAAACTACCCTGTAGCAACAAATTTATAAATGCCCCCGATAAAGGGGGTATGTGAAATTTTGGTTGGTTTGTGGGGGGTTTTTTGTTTTGTTGTGGGTGTTTTGGTTGGGATTTTTTTGTTTGTTTTAGTTCTTCTGTTGTTGTAGGTTTGTGGGGTTTTTTAAAATCAGAGCTATTTCTGCTCTGGAGAAGGATCTGTTTTTTTTTTTCTCTAGACTGCCTACAGTTACCTGGGTGTGGTGATCATTTTCCTGATGATTTCCTCCCTCAAAACCAGGACCATGTGTGGGCTTTCTGAAGAGTGATGATGGACTTAGAGTCAGCTCTAGTTTTTCTACCACTTTTGACAGATATGTGAGGTGGAAAATCAAAGTCCTCTTAAAACAGGATTTGTAAGGTTTAATGGGAGCTCCTCAGTTTTACATGGCTTCCAATGAATTCTGTGCCCTTCAAAGATGACAGAAGGTCAGAACTGGAAAGATCACATCTCTGACATACTGATTGATACAATCAGACTGAAAAGGACCATTTCTGTGCATGGCAAATGCTTTGAAAAAGAGATGAGAATGCCAAGTGACAATAGCAAACTCAAAGTCTCAAAACTCCAGGAGTCTAGCATGTGAACCTTGCCTGCAGGCATGCACGTAGCTGCGTGCACTTGCAAATACCTAGTGGGAATTTATGAGTACTGAGCAGCAAAGACTTTGAAGAAATTCGTGGCTCTTACGTGGATTTGGATGTCATCTGCTTGGGGAGAATGGGAGTAGAGGTATGAATCTCTGGATCTCCAATCATCAGATTGTTTGGGTTTTTTTTATTATTTTTAAAGTAAAGCTTGAATGTAAGTAATTACTGAAAATGCATTTAAGCCTGTTTGTTCAGGAGCTGTGTTCGCTCTGGAATGTCTGCTGCATCAGAGTTGCTTGACCTTGTGTGTTAGGGGTGGATAGCATCTGGCAGAAGCAGGTTTCAAGGTCCAATGAGGAATATGGGACATGAAAAGTGAAAATATGCTATAGGTGTCCGCTTTGGTAGAGACATGAAGTGTGAGGAGAAAGAATACATAATGTGTTTGCCTCGGGAAAGACAGTTGTTGATGGATCATCTATCCTTCCTCTTCATGGATGTGTGTTGCAAAAGATGAGATGTTCATAACTAGAACAAGGAGCTGGTTTCCTTGTCTGTATTCCAGTAGAAAGTTGCTGGATTCTGGGGACTTTTTTCTTTATTAAATGTGCAGTTTGGGATTAAGCTTTCGTTGACAATACTTTATGGGTTCTTGTGGAGAATTTACTGTAACTACATTGTATATAATGTGGTGATAAATGCTGGCAGAGGTGACCGGCTCATTCAGCCTACAAGCCCAGTACCAGCCTCTTCACATGGCTAAAATTTTGCAGGGCATATCTCACATCAGAGTGGAGAGGGATGTAAAACACACAGATGAGTTAACACTTGCCAGCGTCACACACAGGCAAGTTGTACAAGGCACACTGCTTCAGGGCAGTGTCTACACTGAAAACTAGTATTTCTTTCAAATGCTGTTGGAGACGAGAAGTAAAATTTCATCTGTGAATATTCACCATGTGGATCCAGTACTCCTTGTGGGCCTGTACGTGTCAGTGTGGTTTGCCAGGGTGGAACCAGTTCCTCTCCTGGGTTTGTTTCAAGGGCTGATGTGGTTCAATTTTATTTTTGCTTTTAACTAAAATACGAATCCAAAATAACTAAAATGTAGGGATTTGACTCCTACTCACAGATAAAAAGCCTAATACCCGAATATTCTGTTGGGTTGTGAGCTGGTATTTTACCTCCTAAAGAAAGCAAGGGTCAACCACAAAGCCAAGCAAAAAAATTATCAAAACTATCACTGTCACTTCTGTTGTAAATGTGTCTTGCTTACATTGTTTTATGTAAGCAAGCTTTATAAATTTATTAATAAATATTGCATTATGCAGAAGACATGGTTGGCAGACCTAAAGAACAGAAGAAAACAGATTTTGGAGCTTGATTAATTGCCGTTGCAATCCTGAGAAGTTTTTTCATGCAGTAAGATAGAGGAAACGTGTCAAAAACCCCCAGCAACAAACTAAACACAACCACCCCTAGACCTGGAAAGTGCAGTCTTAGCTGTTGGTGGGTGCTGTACCATGGGTTACTGGAACTGAAAGATACTTCAGAACTGTTTTACTTTGAGCACTTGGCAACATCTTTGGACATCAAGGAGAATATATTTCTTCAGGGAAAATATGATTGTGGACACCAGTAATGTTTGCCAAAGGGCCATGGGTAATAACAATCTGTTTTCTGAGATTAGAGTCCAGTTGATGGTGTTCCCGATAGCAAAGAGCGAGGTTTGAGCTGTCACATTAGGCATATTTATTTTCTCTTAACTTCCGCTTCCCCAGCCACAACATAATAGTAAGTAATGTGGTGCTGGGCACGTGTTCTGCATAGGCATATTTTAATGAACAAGCAGAAACTGTAAGCTAACTCTCTTTGGTCCTAAATATTTGTTATATGTAGAAGAACTCTTCAATGGGTGTAGGTAGCAATTTCTAAACTACTTTGATTATTTTTTCCCACCTGCACTGTGAGAACATTTTAGCTTTGATTTTTTCGATGATTTTTTTTTTAACCCCTTTATTTAAAATAGCACAGTAGGAAACGACTGTGTGTAGCTGAGAGTTCCTGCAACTTCGCAACCATGCAATGTTATGCAATGACATGAGCAGGGAGGGCAGGTACTTTACGGTAAACCCGGGGCTTATACAAGCCCAGGAGAGGAGAGGGGCTGCAGGGGGCCACCTGCGGCCGGGCTGTGACCCGGGCGCCGGGAGTGGGATGCAGAAATGCTTCGGGCTCCTGCTTGCGGGGCCGGCTGGAAGGGAGAGTGAGTGCAGCCCCTCGGTGTCTTGGCCAGGACCAGGCCACGCCTCAGAGCAGAGGAACACGTTCTGCAGGTCCCAGAGGTGACAGAGAGACATGTGGCCCTTTGCAGGTGGAGGACATTGTGCGGCACAAATAGAAGTTATTTTAACCTGTAGCAATCAAAGGTGGTGTATTTTGGTTGGGAGGCTTTTTGTTGCTGTTTGTTACGATGGTGTAAGCTCCAGTTTAGATATTCAGCTTTATCTAAGACTAAACAGCCACCGATGAAAGGATGGAGGAGCAGGGCAAGTGGGAAGCAGGTGCTTACACCTCCAGTGCTTGCAGTAGGTTTGAAAATTTGCTCAAGTTTCCTCATGCAAGAGTGTCTGGAGAGCAACCACTCTTCTTCTGACCTCCCCTTGTCATTTCTGTTCCCACATGTGTACGGGGGCTTCTGGCCCCTTGCTAACCCCGTACTTTTGCATCCTTCCATGGCTCTCCGAGCATTGTTCCACCTGCTGTCAGTTGAGCTGCAGGCTCTTCTGCTCTGCCCCTTGGGTAGGGGTTGGATTAAATTATAACATACTTGGCTGAGGAAAATGTTTGGGGGTTTTTTATGTGCAAAATCGGCTGGCCACAGCCTGGTGGCTGCCTTTCCAGGTGGTCAGGGGCTATCCAAGGTCTTGGCTGAGATTTGCACAAAATACCTCAAAAGGAGTGACTACCAAGTCATGCCCAGCAGCGTAGCCTTGGGCCGAGTTGGTGCTGCCTGACAAAAGCTCAGTGTGCCAAGCTGCTGACCATCCCTGGGAGGCCAACTAACCTTGAATTGCTGACGGTGCTCCTCCTCTTTTGGCAGAGGTAGCAGGGTTATACAGGACACAGCTGAACTGTAGCAGTTCATGGGACATACCCTTCACCTGGCACTCAGTTTAGCATATCTTAACCATGCAACAACCACCCAGGAGCAGCTTCGCACCAGGCTTGGATAGTCTTTCTGTTGAAAAAAGGTAGAGAGAAAGAGACTGAAAACTGGTGCAGGATTCACAGACAGGACTTGTCAATCTCCAGAAAAGGGTGTCACTTCAACACAAATCAACAGCCACATGTAAAAATACACTCAGGCCTGGGATCAAACCATCCTATAACAACTCATAGCTGAGTGAGAATGGCTGCCCAACAACAGAGACCTCCAATCCCTCTCCTGTTCCTGAAGAAGTTAAGGCAGTATTTCCCTCATTACCTGCTGCACGGCATGCACGGACTGACTGTGACCCTCTGCACGGTTCAGTGCCTGCACAGCTGAGGATGCAAAGCATTGGTTTGGGGTGGGAACATGCCACTGCAGAAGTCTCAGGGAAGATAACATTTCTAGGTCCTGTACAGGGATTAAGAGGAAGGCAGCATTAAGGCAACAAATTTTCAGTACTTTCCTCCAAACTGAGGTCTCCATTCCTTTGGTGGATGCTTGTGTCCATAATGCCTCGCAAACAGCTCTAGGGTCACAGTATTGCCTACCACTTGGGACATGTGTCTGCTTCAGCATAACTGCATTTCATGACCCGAGTGTTAGCCCAGATGTTAGCAGTTGGGTGTTGTCTTAACTGCCAAATTGTGTGGGAAATGTTGTCTGGTAGCTATTTCCTCTCATAGGATGATTTTCCTGCATTCTAATCTCTTCTAGGTACATTCAAGTTAATTAAGTCTGAGTTTTAATTCATGCTGTCTGCAGGGCTGATAATCCTCCCTCCCTTGTGTGACTTGGCAAGGATTTAGCAATTAGTCTTGGCAGGGCAGAGGTTCCTTGTACCTGTCCTTGTGTTGGGGCATGTGCTTGGCTCCTGCCTGAAGTCCCCCAGTCTCTGATGCATGGGATGGGGAATTTATCCCTCATCCCCATGGTCTGGGTGGTGGCAGTGATGAGAGCTGCCCATGCCAAACCTTATAGGGAGAGGAAGAAATGCGTGGCTGGAACAAAGGGTTAGAGATGGTGTGAGCACTCCTGGGCTGTGCCAGCGCAAGGGCAAGCAGGTGGATCCTAATTTCCTTCAGCTGTGATTTCACTTTGTCCTAAAGTGCTCCTAGGGTTTTTAGGCAGAAACCCAGGGCTATGTAGGTGGGAAGAGGCTCCTGGACGTGGTCTGGTCCAGCTCCCTGGCCCTTGACCAGGGTCACTCAGATCTGGCTGCCCAGAACCATGTCCAGTTGGGGTTTGAGTATCTTCAAAGGATGGAGACTCCACAACCTCTGTGGGTAACCTGTTCCTGTGTTCAGCAATCCTCACTGCAATAACGTGTTTTCTCATGTTTAAATTAGATTTCCCATGTAGGTATTGCTAAATGCAAATCAAATAACCCAAAGTTTCCTTAGCAGCACATCCTGAGGAAGACAGCAGATTTAAGACTGAAGTCCATTACTAACAGCTGTCCATACTCCACCTGGTACAGGTGCTATCCTTTCTGAAGTCTCTGGGGTGTTGATTTATCCTCAGGATGACTCTTCCCTTAGAACGTGTTTCCATCTGCCAGAACAGCCTGGAATTTGTGCTGTGTCCTTCCACAGACATGTTACCTGGAGCAGCCTGTGCCAAGCCATGTGGTCCTGTCACACACCAGGGAGTTTGCCTTGCTGTTAGTGCTGTGGGCAGGCTGTGTCCCATCCTGCACTGGCTGCAGACAAGTGCTGCAGAGGCTGCCCTCACATCTGCAGGTGAGCTCCCTCTGAGCAAGTCGTTAGCACAGATTTTTAGCTTTGTGTATCCCTCCAAACACAACCCACACCCTCCTGGTGAATCATAAACTGCTTACAAACCACTGGCAGCACACCCACCAAACAGATCCAAAGCACTGGCAGCACACCCACCAAACAGATCCTCTAGGGAAGAAAGCAGGTCATTACTGGGATGCTTCTGGGAAGAGACCAGCGCCAGTGGGAAGGCAAAGGCAGGGGAGTGAAGCACTAGAGAGGAAGTGGAGTAAGAGCAGAGAGGCCCTATGGCTGTTCCTGCCATTGGTAAGTTGCTTAATGAAGTCACGAGAAGCACTAAAATCCTCAACTAAACCATGTACCAGGGCTTACTGAGCTCTAGCCCAGATCTTACCCCAGACTTTCTATGCCACTAGCGACAGATCTCTGAAGAGAAGGTACTTGCAGCAAACACAGAAATTACGATCCAAAGGTTGACATCAGTTACAGAAAAATAAACACTGCTTCTAAATTAAGCAGTGGTGGAGTCAGATACTTGGCTTGTTGGGGTTTGCCCCTTCAAACATTCTTTGTTATGCAGTTTAGGAAATGTCGAAGACTTACTGCGGAATAAAAGCAGGTGAAATGATGCGAACGATAGAGGATGGATGGAACAGAAACAGTGCGAGCTATTCAGGCCAAGTTGCTGCACCTGCTTAGAAATTTAATCTAGTCTTAAAGCAGCCTGACCTGGCAGAAGATAAAAGGAAACACAGGAATTAAGGCCATGGCTGAGTCCCATTTTAAGCTTTCACACCTGTAGTACACTACCCTTCCCTGAGCCTGTCACACCCCTCCAGCTCCCTGGCTTAGCCGGGGCACAAAAGTTAAATTTGGTGTTTTATAAGCCTCTCTGACTTCCTAAAACTCTGTCCTGCCTCTCTTGCAGAGCTGTGTTGATGCCAAAGGGTAACAGAAAATTAGTTTTGTCACTGCAATGGATACAAGTGGTGCCATAACTGTAGCCCACAAAAGGATGCCTTTGGGGTTTCTCATGAGTCCTGAATTAGAAAAAGGAGCTACTCTCCCATCTTCCAAGTCCCTCTTGCAGCAAAGCTAGAAGCATCACTCATAGAACACTCAGTTGTAAATTTACTTCTCATCTTCCAGCTAGTTGCAGATATTCCCTCTCTGCTCCTCCTTCCTCCTCTCTTAACTTGTTGTGGTTCAGTCAGGGTTCCTACTGATCCATGGTCAGCCTGGAGTGCAGATGTAGGTGAAATACCAGCCTGCTCGAGAAGACTGGCCATACTACTACCAGCCTGCTAATATCGCACTCTGAGCTCTCTTCCCGCATAGGTCAGAGAGGAAAAGTAAGTATTCTTTATGTGCAAGGAGTGCCACCTAACGGCCTGCTGTAGAATCCCAAAGCTCCACACAGCCCGGGGTCTTGGCATTTTTTTCCCATAGATACGAGTATTTGAAAACACGCACATGTAGGGAAATGCAAGTCTCTTTCAGGGCTGTCTACCCATAAAATACACTTCAAGGGTAATTTTATGTAGAGTCTTTATGTTCACATGGAAAAAAATGGTTTCTTTAAGCCCAAGACTTCAAAACAGCTGTAATAATCCAGATGCAAGTAGGAACTTGGGCATTTCGGTCTGGAGTGTAAAATTGATGAATGCCAGCTAACTGGTAAGAAGCAGCTGTTGGAGAGCAGCTGTTTCACTGCTGCCTTCACCACATCAGGCAGCAACAATCATGCTCATAAGGAGATGTAGGTCAGGTGTAACCTCAGGTCAGCCAGTCCAACCTTTTAGTGGCCTTTCAATTTAAGGTGGCAAAATGCAACAGCATGGACATGGTGTTCTAGGATGACCAGAGCCAGCAGTGATGAAGCAAACTCCTGTGGTGGCAGTTTCTTAACACTCTCCAGCCAGAGGAGTCTGCATCATCCCACCATCATCATGAATTAAACCACGTAGAAGAAATGTCCACCTGTCTTTTTCCTCAGAAACTCACCATTTATTCTTTCTTGCTGTTACCCTTCAGTACAGTGTAACTTGCTTTACTTGAAGGATGTACAGACATGCGGTGTGTATGGAAAATACAACAGAATTGAGGAGCTCCAGAAGAACACACGAGGAAGAAGAAAACCCCCACAAACCATTTAGTCTGTGGCATGTCCTCCTGCTGCAGCAAGAGAAACTTGCACCTCAGGATTTATTCACTACTTGTCCAGTTATGACTAAGCCCTCTCTAGCCTTTGATTTTGTACTAGATTATTACCTGGTGTCCTTCATCACTAACACTGGACCAGAGGCAGATAGCACAGCCTGTTCCAAATGAACAGTATTTCTCTGGTTGTTCTCTTGGAAAATATTCCTAGAAGGGGGGCTCACGTAACTGATTCCTGATTATAGAGTCTGGGCAGCAGCACTTGCCCTGCCTGGCGTGCTTCCACCTAGACGTAAATAGCCCGCTCATCAGCTTATGCATGGGCATTAGGGTTGAACTTGCTGTGAGAATACGCTTCCCAGGTGACCCAGATATCCTATGAGAAAACAAATAGTGACTGGACTACTGGAGATGCTAAAGGATAGAAGAATGCACATTATTGCTTTTAAAACATGTTAGAAAGCAGACTATTTCTATTACGTATCTTCTTGCAAGATAGTAATGCATTGTAGTAGTCCAGAGAAAAATTCTTCCCCCTGCTTCATCAGAATTCAAGTTTTAAGAAAACTTCCTAGATAATGTTTCCATAAAAACACTTGAAAATATTTGACCTTCAAGGTTTCTTGCCTGATAACCAGTTTCAGGGCAACTCGAAAGCAGTCTCTTATAATAATGAAAGAGCTAAGTAACCCTCACTTAGGTAGTTTAACCTCTAGAACTCTTCTCTGAATCATTCAGAGCAATTCCAGTAGATCACCACAAAATGAGAAGGCTTTTGCCTTTAGTTTGCAGAACCATTTGTTGACAAACAGCACGCACACACTTGACCTTCTTTCATACCTGCTTTGTCCCAGAAATCAAGTCTATTAACTTGTTTCTCAAATTTCCAGTCAGGAAACTTAATGCTGCACTTTGGTGAAGCATGTTTGTCCAAGACTCATTACCAGCTTGCGTTGTTCTAGGCAGTATCTAAATTCACTCAGGACAAAGTCAACTGATAGAGAAGATGAAATTTCTCACCTTTGACCCAAACTGAGCAACATATTTTAAAACCGTACTGGTAGTCGTTATCACTGTGGGTAGGACACTGTACTCAAGAACATTTTACAGAAACAGCATTTGTAGTAACATACCCCAAAAGAAGGGAGCCATGACACATTACTATTAGCCTGCAATGGCAACTGCAGAGCCTTTCTTTCCAGATAAAAGGAATCTTGGCATTAGAATAACTTCCTTGTAAAAACATGTGAGCAGAGGTGCTGTTTTTCCACAGCTGGTCCAGAACTGCTCAATTGTTTGGACAACAGATCTATTTTAGGACATTTGTATATTAGATACAGAACTTGCCTATAGCTTGAGTTCCCCTCTCCCTACCTTAACAGGCTATACTATTCACTAAATTCCCCAGGTCAAATCCCACATTTGTTTTCTATTTGTTGTTCAAATGAACAATTTAGAAGTAAAAGAAGACATTAGGGAAAAAAAACAAACCACATTTAACAATACCCACAATCCTTCCTTCTCCTTTACTCTTATCTGTCACAGTAGGAAAGACAAATGAGGAAACTGATGTGAACAATCATAAGGGAAATATCTCTCAAAAGTGCTTAATGATGTGAGAGACCCTTTGTGGTGCAAATCTTGTGCTCATCTTAAAAACATATGACAGTAGAAATACTTCTGGGTAGTCCCATCCCTACAAATGTCAAATCTCACTGGAAACACTGATAGATGCTGCCGTTTTAGGATGGAAGTATGGAAAATTAACATGGCAAATCAAGATTTAGAATCAGTATTTGTAAAATTTTTCACAGAAGTGCAACAAAAGTGAAACTGTTTTAAAAATAGGTTGGAAAAGCAGAATTTGATGCAATCTGTATTCACCAGCACCTGTTTTTACAGGGAAATTTAAGAAGGAAAAGCATTAAATCAGAAAGGCTCTATTAAACCAGACTGTTACCAGATATACAGAAGAACCCACTGGTAAGTAGCACAAAATGGCCAGGCTTAATGGAAATTTAAAATTCAGTAACAATTTATTTAGAGTAGGCAAGAACAAAACTATTTACATTAAACTTCTGTAGTGGCATTATTTTAAAAAATACAAAATGTTTAAAAAGAGTTAAGAAAGCAGCAAGTAATGAGGCAAAATCCACAAACCAGGCTGATACAGCCATTGAAAATGACAGCAGCAAGATATAAAACAATTTTGCCTAAAAACTATGCTAAAACAATTTTATGTTTAAGCAAACATATTTACAGTTTTACAGGTGAGGTATCAAGCTATTTAATGTTTAACCCGTTAAATACTTTAGTGCAACAAGAGAACTATTAATGTTTCAGAAAACTTATCTAGAAAACATTCCTGACTTTTCATGGCACAATGACTTTAGTACTCAACTGACTGGTCTCTTAGGTACTAACCACCAAGCTGACTGGCTTCCAAAAGGAGTAAAATAAAGACTGTCAACTAATGTAACATTTTAATCCTAATTTGACCTGTAAAGGACTGGAAATTTAACTGAAAAAATCATGAAGGGTTTTATGGCATGTCCAGGAACAGTCTTTACCAATATTGCTAGCAGCTTTTACTTACTAGTGTCAGGATATGGGGGTCAGTAACAGTTTAAATTCCATTTCAGAACAGGCACACAGGAGTGTAACCACAGCTAAGCAAACTCTGAGCAAAGTAACTTTCAAGCAATGTTTTCAGCCCTGATTTACCTTTTTGAGACAGCTTTCTGCTGTTTCATGCAAGACAAGAATCAAGGTGTTCGTTTATTTTAGATTCCAAAACCTCAGTTTCACAGACAGGACAACTGACATTTTTATCCTGCCTCACAGGATTGCTAGAACTTGCAGAGGACTGTGTAAATTCAGCTTTGGTTTTCATAGTTGTATTTATACTTGAAGTGACACCAGTACCCCCTTTTTTAATGAAATACTTTTCAAAGGCAGTTTTGTCTTCCATTTTTGGCCATCGCTGTGGTGTATTAATACATTCTAAGCTTTTTTTCTCAGATGCAACCTGAGCTGTTGTTGTCTGCTCCAGACAAATTTGTTTGGGTGGCCGGTTGGGAGACGGCAGAGCCCTCTTGTTATTTGCAGAGCCTTGGTTTGATTTTAATTCCCTAACATGAGCCATTCTAGCAGGCAATCCACTATCATTCTCGTAATCTTCTGTGTTAGCAACAGAGAGTTTAGGAAACTCATGCTTTAAAGTTAAGTTGATCTTCTCACTGCCATCATCGGTATGAAGTGGAAAGATGCCACTATGGGGTAATTTTCCAAATTTTATCTCATTTTTAGGGATTGGTCTTGTCCTTACTGCTGAATGATGCTGTGAACCATGTGATTCACTGTTTCCAATGCTGCTGCTGGCATTTGTGTCTTTTTCTGAAAGTACACTGTCTCCTCCTCCAAGCCGGTAACCCATTCCACTAAAAGGCATCAGATCTTGAGTACCATGCATTTGTGTCTTGCCTGCAAAATAAGATTAAAAAAAAAAATTAGTAACTTTTCCGTTTAAAAATCATGGGCTTAATATTTGACATGCTTCATACAAAACCTCTGCTACCTGAAAAGAGTGCATCAAACAAAACTTTTTACAGACAATTCAGTTGAGAAGGAGCCTAGAAATGCACAAAAACCCCAGGTCCTATTCTTTGCTAGATAACAGTAACATCTAAACAAAGCTTATGTAGTGGTTGGTCCAAAAATGTTCCAAGAAAACATTTGGAAAAAATCAGTTTGGAAAAGGAAAAGAAATAACAAAATACCTTTGTTCTTTGACTTGAAATGTGGAAGTTTTGCTGTCTCAGTTTTATGCTTTGATTTCTTGGAGAAATTCTCCGGCTCTTTCACTTTTGTGAATGTGCCTCCACATGTCTTTTGATGGTCATCCCACCAGAGGTCGTGTGCAGAGGGTGCTCTGTTCATGGAGCGCTTCACATACCCAAAATAAGGTCCTCTGTTTTGGCAGGGGCCATTGCATCGCCACCAGTGCTGGCGGTACACATCAACCTCATCATAAAAGTTATGATAAATCTAAGTAAAAAAACCAAACCAAAACAATAAAACGGTCATTCAGAAAGTTTCTAATTTTATATCAGTAGCTTACAATATTTTTTAAAAAATCCATTACCGGTCCATTTTTTCCACTACTGCTGTGATTTTTACATTACCAGTTAAAAGAGTTGGAGCCAGGTAAAATTTGATCAACATTTAGCTACCATTAAAACAAAGCTTAAAAAAAAAAGGACAAGATGTGTAGGAATATGTCCTGGCTATCTTGTTTGAACTGCAATAAAATCACTTTGGAAATCTATCTACAGTTTCACCCTGAGCGACGAACTGTTTAGAATGCATTGCAAACCATACCAGTATTCTCCCTTCAGCTACCACCTTAATTGATCTTATCAGACACATTACTTTAAAGTATCACCGACATAAGTATCATTAGCTTCTACTGATATAAAGTAACTATAACTAAAATAGACTCTTCTTCCACAAGTACTACTCCGAACATGGAGCTATTCTATCCCTGCTATCATTAAGCTGTTTCGAGTTTACCACAAAAGCTTAAAGTAAAATACTTACAGAGAGTATACTCGAAAATTATGCAACTAACAACTCACCACATCTTCCTCAACCTGTTCCCACCACTGTCCCCAACAAAATAACTATGGAACTGGCACACACTTGGAAGCAAATTTGTACTGGTACCAACTGTTGAGTGTCTGGCAAGAACAAGCATATTACTCATACCACACTGGGCAATTAAAACACCAAATCAGGAAGAAGGCTCTATTAAATCAGGTTAAGAGGATTATGCTTACTGTGACATGGGCTCCAGTCAAGTGATTAATGCGACGCATGTGTTTGCAGAACTCTGGTCCATGAGATTCACGATCTTTGTAGTTATGAGTAACAAAGAGCAAGGCATGGATCATTTCATGCAACAGTGTCTGAAATTATGCAAATCATTAGATATTTATGGACAAGCCATTATGTATAGTTTCAAAATTAAGCTGCAAGTATTTTAGTCCTCTACATCGATTGCGACACCGATCTTATCTTTGAGCGTTCACATGTTCAGTGTGGGTCACAAAAACATAATACTTTGACCTATAAAACCAAATTCCCATACTATCAAAACATACTGGAGAAAATTTCTACAATAAGTGACATTCCAAAAAGAAGAAATAATCCTCAAACTTAAGTCACAAATTATTCCCTCTACAATCCAAAAAAAGAGTCACTTGTGAGAAAGCTGAAACTCTACAGCATTTCTGTTCATTAGGCAAATCTGAATGTTCAGTCAGCTCAAAGAAGCAGTTCTGACAGAGGCACAACAAGCAACACAAAGTCATATTCTATATCCATATTTTCTGCTGTTGGCCCTTTCAAAACTACAGTCCATGTTTGTTTTGAACACTAAAGGATAATTTAGGAGTTAAAAACTTGGGGTCTTTTTTTCTCTTTATAAAGTCAGTAAAATAAACAAGTGACTTTAGACTCCTACTTGAAGTTGTCCATTTAAAAACATAAAACTAAAGACTACCATGATATTGCAACACAAGCCACACAAACATAACAGTAAAGCCACCACTATTTTATGATCTATAAGTTACTGTCTGTAAGAATCTCACTAAGAAATGTAAAATGTTCATATGGAGCAAGGCGGGGGGGAGGCACAATAAATTTTATGTGCAGATTCATGACCAATCTTCAAATACCTCAACGAGATCCTTCCTTGGTCTTAACTTTAGTAGTGGCTCACTCAGACGAATGGAACACAATCCACTTTTTTCATGATATGTACAGATTCCAGCAGAGCTGAAAAGAGAGGCAGGAAGAAAATACGAAAATTTACTTGTTTCTGTAGTACATGAAATAAATGGAGAATTTAAGTTAAAATGCCATCCCCTTCCAACACGCTAGGTCACTCAGAACATGAAAAAACCAGCAAAGAAAAAAAACCCGACAAGTACGTTAGAGTTGAAAAACCTGTTTAGGAGGCAGAGGACTGTTTCCTTTGGAACTCGTGATGGAGTGAAATGCACTAAATGGAGGCTAGACATTCACAGCAGCAAACACTGACTTAACTGCTGGTTGCTTCAATTTCACTCCTCACCCTCCCTAAATTTTTGACTCATACTAAACCATCACTTCTGTGTGCTAATCCATAAGAAAACACTTGCTTTTTTTTTTTCTTTTTTGTGTTACTGAGTTAGTCCTCTACCAGTTCAATATCCAACGACTTTCAAGTGTCTAAAGAATAGCGCAACCAGCAGAGGATATGACAGGGCAGAACTCCAGCCACCAGCAAGTGCACCTTCTGCAGAACTGCACCCCGCACCTCAAAGCTTTCTGGTTTTGTTTAGTCTCAGGTTCTTGTATGTTCCCCTTCCTAGTCTATTCTAAGTTTTGCTGATATACCATTTTTCGTTCATATTTGCCTCTCTGCTGTGCTGTAAAACTATCGCAAACACTGAGAACCAGAGCAGCAACACGAGTACGTGAGGTTTCCACAAGTGTCAAGTGATTCCTTCCAGTTTAACATCTCTCCGGGCTTGCCCGCACCCCGGGTAAAGCCACTGATAGCTGCCAGGGACGACAGACGAAAGGCAAACCAGACAATGACAGCGACCCACCCATGTCCTGCTGTGCCAGCTATACCAGGGATGCGGGACATTCAAGTATCTGGGAAGAGAAGCACCGCGCGCCTACGGCGGCACAAGTAGGAGCAGCACGCAGTGACAAATGACAGCTCTTCCTCCCTTCCCCGAGACTCCCAGCCATGCTGCTCGAGGGGTGACGGCCTCTTCCCACAGCTCTGATCCCCCACCGGCAGCTGCCGGGGCCCGTCGGAGGTACGGCGGGCAGCTCCAGACACAGAGCGGCGTCACCGTACCACCACCCGCCCCCCGGTGCTGCACCTGGTCATGCGGGGGCTCCAGGACACCGTGACAGCCTCCAGCTTCCTCCAGAAGAGCGTCTGGTTGAAGTGCACGAACAGGCCGTGCACGTCGGGGCTGGGGTCCAGCAGCTCCCACGCCTCGTCCACCACCGACATCGGGCGGGGGGACGCGCGGTACGGCGGGACATCGGCGCGCTTTGCTGCTGCTGCTGCTGCCGCCTCCTCCGCTGCCGCTGCCTTATCCTCCTCTTCCCACTCCCTCTGGAGCTTGAGCGCAAACAAGAAATCCTCATCCTCCATCTCGGGCATAGCTTCCGCCATGCTGATAAGTCATGCGCCGGGAAACGGCGGCGTTCCGGCGCACGCGCAGCAGCGATCCATGGAAAGCTGCCCCGTCCTTCCCCAATGCGCACGCGCCGGGATCCCCCCATCGACCCCGTCCGAGGGCGGTGCGTCCCCACGCGTCACCCTCGGCGACCGCTCCCACTGGCTGGGCCGGGCCGTGCTGCGCGGCGCAGGCGCGGCGCTCTCCCCGGCAGTGGCGGCGGCGGCGGCGGCGGCGGCGAGGCGGGTGCCGTGCGGCGGGAGCGGCGGGATCATGGCGCTGTCGCTGGGCGAGGGCGGCGGCGGCGGGAGCCGGCTGCGGCGGCAGCTGGAGTCGGGCGGCTTCGCGGCGGGGGAGTACGTGAAGCAGCTGTCGCAGCAGTCGGACGGCGACCGGGACCTGCAGGAGCACCGGCAGCGCATCCAGGCGCTGAGCGAGGAGACCGCGCAGAGCCTGAAGCGCAACGTGTACCAGAACTACCGGCAGTTCATCGAGACGGCGCGGGAGATCAGCTACCTGGAGAGCGAGATGTACCAGCTCAGCCACATCCTCACCGAGCAGAAGGGCATCATGGAGGCCGTCACCCAGGCCCTGCTCCTCCAGGCCGACCGCGACGACCCCGCGCTGGGCGCCCGCCGCGCCGCCGCCGCCGACCCCTTCCTGCCGCTGTCGGCCAAGGATGCGGCGGCCAGCGAGGAGGGGCGGCAGCGCACCCTCACCACCCTCCTGGAGAAGGTGGAGGGCTGCCGCGACCTCCTGCCTGAGAGCCCTGGCAAGTACCTGGTGTACAACGGGGACCTGGTGGAGTACGACGCGGACCACATGGCGCAGATCCAGCGGGTCCATGCCTTCCTCATGAACGACTGCCTGCTCGTGGCCACCGCGCTGCCCAACCGGCGCGGTGCCTACCGCTACGACGCCCTGTACCCCCTCGATGGGCTGGCTGTGGTCAACGTCAAGGACAACCCGCCCATGAAGGACATGTTCAAGCTGCTCATGTTCCCTGAGAGCCGCATCTTTCAGGCTGAAAACGCCAAGATCAAGAAGGAGTGGCTGGAGGTGCTGGAGGACACCAAGCGCAACCGGGCCCTCAGCGAGAAGCGGCGCCTGGAGCAGGAGGCCCTGCCCCGGCCTGCCCCAACACCCCCCGAATCCACCAACCCCTT